AGTGGTCTGGCCTCCTGTGCTCTGGAGATGGCTTCTGTGCTCTGGACACTGAGCCTGTCCAGCCCTCTCTTCCACCAGGAGCTCTGTGCCCTTGGCCAGATGGAGGCCCTTTCCCCAGATCCTGCCCAGGCCACCCCCTCATCCTTGAGGGAGGAAGTAAGGAGGCCGGCCGCACCAGGCTGGTCTTGAACCTCCCTTGGTGACTGCCAGGCTGGAGGACGTCGCAGCGTGACTGCATGTAAGGCCCCGGGCCACAGAAAATCCCCATAGTCCCTGAACACATCAGCCCTTTCCCAGCCATTCCCACTGCCTGGACAGCCTCACTTTTTCTTTCCTCACTCCATATTTCAGATTCCTCGATCCCTCCAAACCCAGCTCAGGTCTCACTACAGCAGCCTTCCCTGACGTCCTTTTCCTTCCACGACTCATCCCGGTAGTGACAGCTCCCTACCTTACACTGTGCTAATTCACCTGTAAGCCATTCTCACCTCTGTAGAAGCTGCCACAACTCATTCATGAAGTTTGAGTTGAATGAATGACATTCATTCCCACTGAAAGGGGACAAGAACACATATAGTGCAGAGGTCTACTGGGGAATTTTGGTATATAATAAAAATTCTTGTGGCCTGGAAATAAGTGTTCCTTTCTTTTGCTCATTTAGGCAACTGGCTCGTTAAGGTGACAAATACAAAACTAGAAAAATCTCAAAAGGCCAAATTTCAGGTGTCCAAGGGGACAGTCACTACAGAAGGCAGCAGAGGATGGGTGCCGCTGAGAGGTGGGCTCCAGGAGTGCTACCGGTCCGGGGCTCTGGGGCGGGTCCATAGGTGGGCGGGGCTGGCAGAGGGAGGGCCAATGTCCCAGCACAAGACTCCTGACCGATACAGACACTCCTTTGGGGGTTGCTGACATGCCCCCGCAGGGAAGCCATGGCCCGTCCCTCTGTACCCGCTAGTGGCATGTCCCTGGCAGGAGAGGAGGGCTGCCTTCCCAGATACACAGCCCTCTGGGGCTGCTGCACCACATTTTGAGGAAATGCATGTTGTTGGAGGGAGGTAGGTCATTTCAAGACAGCGAAAGCATTTTTTTCCCTTCGCCTTTCAAACACCCTGGGTGCTTGACCCCCTGAGGATGATTCTGTCACACCATCTGCCACCAGCTGTGGTGACTTATGAGCGCTGGGGCACACTTCCCGACAGCCATGCTGGGATGAGTGAAATTGGTTGCACTCACAGCACCACACTTTTTCCATATACAGTAATACCTTGGTTTGCAAGCATAATTTGTTCCAGAAACAAACTACTCATATTGCAAGACATCACTCTTTTACCAAGTTAAAATGTATTAGAAATGTTTGCTCATCTTGCAGAACACTCACAAACCACGTTACTCGGAATCCAAGGTTTTACTGTATTGTCATGCAATCCTGGTAGCAGCGGAGCCAGAAATGGGGAAGCTGGAGCTCAGAAACATTCACCAGTTTGATCAAGGCCCAGAGCAGGACGGAAGCTTAGGGTTAGAAGCCTGGCCAACCATTCTTTTTACATATGAAGAGACTGAGGACCCGAGAGACACAGCAACTTGCCAAGTCAGACCTGACTCTTGGGCCAGCAACCACAGAATATTCTATCAAATTTGGAGAGCAAACAGCTAAAGAAATACAAAGTTAGCCTAGGAGGACAACACCCAAGCCCTGGAAGGACCCTTGGGACCTCGCCCCAAGCCCAGCCCTCTGCTGGAACTTCCCATTATGTCCCTTATTACCCGCTCCCTCTCTTAGTCCACTGTTTCGTTTCTCAGACTAAGCAGAAATTGGTCTCATGACTTCCACCACTGGTTCTGCTTGTGCCTCCCAGTGTCATAGAAAACAGGTCTGTGTCCTCATTCACAGGCTCTGACCCTTCAAGCTTTCAATGTGAGTAGGCTCTGCCTGGCCTTTCTTTCTCCAGACTAAAAGTCATGAATTCCTTCATCTGTCTAGTGGTGACGGGTAGAGAGACACCACACCACCACAGTCCTCCCCTCCAAGGAGGGTTCTGGTGCTGCCAAGGGTGTCGTGGCCGCTGTGCCTGCTGGCCCCACAACAGATCCTGACTGGGTACCAACTCCAGTGCCAAGCTCAGTGCTTCATTCCACTGTGGCTGGAAAAGATACACTGTAGGATTTCAATCCTTTGAAATGTATTGAGACTTGTTTTGTGGCCTAACACATATTCTATCCTGGAGAATGTCCCACATATATTTGAGAAGAATGTGAGTTCTGCTGCCAGTGCAGTGTTCCACATATCTGTTGAGTCTAGTTGGTTTATAGGACCCAAGCGTTGTAATCACCTTTCTCCAAAGAAGATATCCCAACCCTTTTATAAAATCACAGTACTTGCATGAAAGCGTCTCCTTCACATACATTAATTCATTTTTTAAAAACACTTTTTTTTTCTAACTTTATTGGGGATCAGTGTGTTTTTCCCAGGCCCCATCAGTAGTTGTCCTTTAATCTTAGTTGTGGAGGGCGCAGTTCAGCTCCAAGTCTAGTTGCCGTTTTCAATCTAGTTGCTGGGTCGGGGTGGTGGGAGTGGGGAGGGGTGCAGCTGGCCATTCCATATGGGAGTCGAACCGGCAACCTTGCTGTATAAGAGCACGCGCTCTAACCAACTGAGCCATTGGGCTGCCCACCGGCAGCTCAGCAGAAGCTCACCTCAAGTCATTGTCTTCAATCTAGTTGCGGAGGGTGCACCTCACTGGCCCATGTGGGAATAGAAGCGGCAGCCCTGTTGTCCAGAGCTCACGCTCTAACCAACTGAGCCACCCAGCCTCCCCATTAATTAATTTGTGCTTCAACAAGCCAAAAGGAGAGGGATCCTATCATTTCTCCCTGACATGTAGTATTATACCGTGAATTGTACCTGAACGGCCTGTATCCTTACACAGAAGGCTAACCCCTTGGGAACACAAGACATGGACTTAGTCTCCAGCCCCTGACCATGGGAAAGGGCATGAAGTGAAGGCAGGTGAGCCTGAGGCTGCTCCCTCAGAGATCCCAACCTCTCCCAGAGGAAGTCCAGGCCAGCAATCCCTAGCATGGCCCAGCTGAATTAACACGCACTTTCCCTCAGCTGCCCATCCCAGGAAAACAGTTCCAGAATAATGAATCCAATAAATGCTGCCTGCTACATTATTTTCAGGAAGTTCCTAGGAAATGAAGCAATTTATTATTTATTTTACTTAGGAATAGCTAGGAAGAGGAAGCTAGTTCTCCCATAGCATCAGTGCTCCCACACTTAGCCAATGAGGTTGTCCTGAGCCTAGCTGCACTACCAGCCACATCATTCTCCACAGTGGCTTTCCACAGGCTTCCAAACTGAGACCGCAGGTCCTGCTGGGGGGTCTCAGCACAGTCTACGCCTGAGATAGCTCCCCAAACCCCTCCTTCACTGGGAAATGGAGTGGTACCCTGGGGACCCCTTGCCAAGCTCAGCGTCACTGCTGACACACCAGAGCCACATGAGTACTGACCCCAAGAAAAAGAATCGCCGCCAGGGGGAGGGGAGGACCCATGCTTGGGTGAGACTAAAAGAGAAGGTCCAGCTGACACTCAAGGACCTTCAATGTGCATCGAGAAACTAGCGCGAGGGGAGAGACCCCCAAGGCAGGGAGACTGGGTACGGAGCTTGGTGACCAAGGTCGCCAGCTCCTTTCCTCCTGCTTTTTGCTAGACCTCCTTCCACAGGACTCACTGTCTCCCCAGCCAGCCTGTGACAGAATCCTGGAGAAGAGGGGCTGTGACTCGTTCTCACTTGGAGTCCTGCCTTCCTAAAAAAACCCACACAGGTCTATGGAAACACACACCATTTTGCTTGCAACTTCAGAAGGATCACAGCTTCCTAATCCTTACTCTCTGTGTGTGTGGACTCAGTTTTTACCCATCAGAAACATCTGCTATCGTGCTGGGTGGGTGAGTCTGGGGGAGGCAGGCATCTGACACACTGCTACAGGAATCTACTAGTACAACCCTGTGGAAGGCAGGTGACAATCTCTCAGAATTACAAATGCACCCTCCCACTGACCCAATAACCCCACTTCCCGGAAGGTATACTTCACTCATACTTGTACACATATGAAATGAAATGCAAGGTTACTCATTGCAGAATGGCAAAATAAACACCCTAAGTGATCATCAACAGACTATAGGTTAAATATACCATGGTACGTCCATACAATGAAATACTGTAGTTTTGTAAAAACAAAGAGGAAGCTTTTTATGCAGATAGGGAAAAAGTCTAAGATATACTGCTAAATGGAAAAAAATCAAGGTGGAAGACTATATGTATTTTAAAATAAGTACCTATTTAAATATGTATGCAAAGACACGAGACACTGGTAGCTCTGGTTGCCTCTGCGTGGGAGAGCTGGGTAGGTAGCTGGGGACAGAGTCAAGGGCAGAATTCACTGCACATGCTTCTGAAGCTATTGGTTTATGAATCATAGAAAGATATTATGTATTAAAAAATAAATATATTAAAGTAAAAAATAAAAAGTCTTGCTTGGGATATCAGAGCTTGCCTCCCACCTTGGCAAAGGCGGCAGCACTGGCTAAATGGTTTTCAACCTCCATAATAGGCATAGGAGAAAGTCTGGCCCAAGGCACAGGTTCAAGATCCTGGACTCCTATCCCCAACTACTGCTTCTGGAGCTGACCCACTGTAGCATCTGGAGGGTCTGCTCAAGTCCAGGAACCAGGCTCTCCCAAACAAAGGGGCACACAGCCCCAACCACAGACATTCCCATCTCGAGAACTGCCAGCCATCCCGACCATGCAAGCATCTCACTGCTGAGGACGCACGGAGCTGAGTGGGAAAGGCAAACACAAACCTCGACCTTCCAGGACTGGTCTGGACTAACCTGGGTCTCCTGGTCACCACTGCCCCCCCAAACTCTTTCTATTCCCACTCTCTCCAGACCCACGATGCTGCACGTACACCCGCTGTGCCAAGTACTCGCTACCTGAATGGCTGTTCATCATGCGGACAGCCTTGGCCTTGGCCAGCTCCAGGGCGGTGATCCACTGTTGCCGCTCCACCTCCGAGCTGGTCTTGAGGTGGTAGGTCCTTGCCCCACTGGTCAGTATGATACCGCAAGAATCCTCCGTGTCAAAGTGCGTGGTGGACAGGTTGATGGTGCCACGGCAGGTGTGGGCCATTTCACCCTGATTTCTGTAGGATGCAAGAGAAGGTATGGGTTGAGGCTCCCAAACTCAATAGCTCCGGACTGAAGAAAGCCTCAAGAGAAAATCCTCAGGATCTCAGACCCTTGGAGCTGGGAGAGGCCCTGGAGTCAGAGCTGGAGATGATGCCTATTGGGATTGACTGGTAGGAGCTTGGTTGCAAGGCACTCAGTGGGGAGAGTGGCAGAGGGAGGAGGGCCTGCATCAGTGCCACAAGCAGGACATGCCTGATGGTGTCTGAACCCTTGCAGACACCAAGAAATGGAGAAGGGTGACCGCCTGGGGTTCTGCTAGGCTGCTCAGACCTCTAACTCCATCCCAGACTCTTTCCACTAAGTCTCAGAACCACAGAGCAGGGTGGGAATCTACCACTAGCATTGGTAGTAGAGACACAGGGGGTGGAGTTGGAGGCATCCTCTGCCAGGAGTGACCTGGGAACCAAGATCCACAGAGCAACAATGCCATCATTCTCCTCTGGCCCCATAACAAATGAGGTAAATGCATGGTTAGGCTAACACATGCAACCTCATGACAAGAGACATCCTTTGCTGGTTCCAAGATTATGGAGCTGATGGTACCAAAGTAAGGGGAAGCAGAGGAAACTAAATTGTGGGCCATTTCCAACTGTGACCAGTGCCTGAAAACTGAGATCCCATTATCACGACTACTTAAGTCACTCTCCCTTAGACACTCAAAGGAGATTCAGAACCCCCAAGACATACTGGATCTCTTTCCACAGAGGGTGCTGGAAAAGGGAGAGCAACGGGTTCCCAGGGTACCACTCCATTTCCTGGTGAAGGAGGGTTTGGGGGTCATATCAGCAGGTAACACTGCCAGTGGCAGGAGCCCATTTGGCAATTCTGCTGCCCATTGATGCTCATTTATTTTCCCTGGCTGTCATCATCTGTCATTTTCTTGATTCTCCTACCAGCTCTCAAGTCAAATGACTTGACACTCAGTAAGACATTCGTCTTTCACTGGAACAGCTGCTGCCTTCTGATTCCCTACTGCTTTGGTTACAGTCCTTAGAGAAGATGACATAGTTTATACCTGAAGAAAGATCCCCTCTCAGGTGCTGACATCTTCCACTTGAAGGAACCTCATTCTAATTTACAAAACTGGCAAAGCTGGGCATGCCTGTCTGTAGGAAGCCTGCTGTTTTACGTTTAAGGACATTTCAGGCTAGAGGTTGTTCAGGTGTTAAATAGTATAACTAAAAATGATACTATGGCTTAGCTCAAAAAGAGGAGGGGGGTGACAGTATTCTAAGCAGAGGGAAATATGTGGGGCAAAGACTATGAGGCAAGGAGGGGTTTATAGCTTTCAAAGAACAGAAAAAACTTCCATGTGGCTTGAGCATTGAGAACAAGAGAGTGGATGAGAAAAAAAATGAAGCGAGAAAAGCAGGCAGGGATCAAACGTAGTAGTACCTTGCAGGCCACATCAAGGACTTAGACTTTTATCCCAAAACTAAATCAGTGGGCCTTCTGGGCCTAATATCAGGAAAGAAGCAGAGGTGACCAAGAGTTCCGGAAGTTCCTAAGGAAAGCCTTGTGCAAGGTGGGAGATGGAAGCCAGGCCACTGTATGAAACCAGGGCTGGGCTGGGAGTTATCCAGTGGCTGCTGTATTGGATTATAAGCCATCGACCAAAATAAAGTCCATATAGAGTCCTATAAGTCCCTACTGATATAAGTAAATAATTGAAGGAATAAACAAATGGGGAAAAGGGACAGATCTTCCTTAATAGGATTAGATGGAATTGTGGAAATAGAAAATCACTAAATGTAATGCGGGATCCTGGGTTGAATTGTAAAGCAGAAAAAAGACATTAGTGGAAAAACTTGTAAAATACAAATAAAGTTTAAAGATTAGTTAATAGTATTATAATAATGTTAATTTCCTGGTGTTGATAATGTACTTTTTTTTGTAAGATGTTAACATTAGGGCAAGTTAGGTGAAAAATATATGGGAACTCTCTGCACTATATTTGCAACTTTTCTGTACGTCTACGTTATTTCAAAATGAAACTAAAATTTAATGCTGCCATCACCTTTTGCCCAGGGTCATAGCTGATATGAAGTCTGTGGTCAGAACCTGAACTCACTTGCCCTTAGGCTCAGTGACTGGGCTGGAGATATTCCCAATGTCAGTGAAGGACAGAAGCCCCAAAGCCCACACCATAAAGCCTGCATCATAAAGGTTCTGGACTTGGCTCTCCAGGGAGCAAGGTGGAGGTACTTTAAAAATCACAGACCAAGAAGAGTAGAGTGGTGGGTGAGGCTCAGGGAGGGAGGGAAAATCTCCCAGTCAAGATGTGCCTGAAAACCAAAATTCAAAATCCCTGAATAAAACCAGTGCTAATAAATAAATTAATAGAGTCAATGCTCAGAGGATGAGTCACTTCAGTCAGAATAGATTATCAGGACAATATGACAAAAATTAATATAAATAAGTTTAGGAGTCTCAAAGAAAAAGGAATAACATCCAATAAAAGGAACAATAATTTATAAAACAAAAGTAGGTAAAAATGAAACAATAACAGGTAGATATGAAAAAGTAACAAAAGAATTTATGAAAATGAAAATATAGCAGATAAGCTTTACCATCCACCCAGCACTCAAATCTAAATTTAACTTTAACTCATTGTAATTAGAGTTACTTTTCATTTAAGGGCTTAAGGAGATTAATTTTTCAGTTTTACTTTTCTGTGTTATTTAGAAGAACTTACATAGAGGTATACATGAATTTGGAGATTAAAGGCCCCTTAAAATGATCACGGTCCAACGCATTTGCTGGTCTTGGAATTTAGTTCTGCTCCTTTTTCTTTCGTTTAGATGTTTTGTGGTCAATCCATTTTCTACCAGTAGCCAAAGTGATATTTTTGTCCTGTTAACTCAATTTTAAAAAATTTCAGTGGCTTCCAATTCAGTCCTGAAAGGGCCTAAAATTCAGGAACATATCTTAAAATTCAGGTTGTTTTTTGGGAGTGGCACACCTGCCTATGTTGTACATAAAAGGTTCTGTTTCTCCCATTGTGAGTTTTGGCGGCGGTAACACTCTCTATGAGGGTCGACCTTCCAGCACTACCCAACAGCCCAGATAGTGGAAAAGTTCAAGCTCCACACATGTCACACTGGACCTGAGCCCTGCAAGCTGCAGTAGCAACTCCTCTCCCTTGGGGGTCTTTGGAGGTACACAACCACCCACAACAATCTATTTTCTCTAAGCCCTGGGCAGCTTTTGTGGCCTCACTACAATAAAACAAACAAGGCCTCCTGGCTTGTCTTATGGGCCCCCAGTTATATCAGAGCTCATATTCAGCATATATGATCATGTATCTTCTGCCATTTTTTTAAGGAGACATGTTTTGAGGCATTACTTTACATTTGGTTGGTATGTAGAGAATTTAGAACAAGTAGAAACCAAATATGGGACACGTGAAGTTTTACTTAACTGCAAGAGAGGCTGCCATAACTAACATCCTTCTACATGAGTCACACCAACTCTCAACCAAATAATACTCAGCAGTTCTGATGGCCAATGTCCTTACCAGAGACAAGGGTGTGACATCAGCCAATAGAACTTGGAAGCCTGTAATGGTTAATGTAGTACTTACTGAGCACTGAATAAGCTGTAATAGTGAATGTAGCACTATGGCTAGTGACGAACCCATCTGTACTAGGCACAAGCTCAGAGTTCCCTCACCATCTCGTATCTCCACCATCCTCTTTCTTGGTCCCCCAATTGGCCTGAGTCACCCCTCCATTTCTGAACTTGGGCGAAGTGCTGGAACTCAGTATGAGATCTGGTTTCCTGAATGGCCATGAAGAGGCTGGGTTTTTGCAGCCTCACAGATTGAACAATGACAAACGGGAAGCAGAAAATGGGTGAGAAGCAGGCAGATAAATATTCCTCATTTATCACTTCTGCAATCCTCTACAAGGTATGGTTTATCTTCACAAACCTCCTGGAGAATTCCATTAGCCCAGAGAGCATGAGTGGCCCTTGCAGTTTGCTATGAAGAGGTGGTGGCCTGTTAAAGTATCACATCACTTTGCATTCTTCCCTTTTTGCCTCTCTATCACTATGGCTCATCTTGCTGCCCCACTGAGTGCCCAACCTGCCAGCAGGAGAGACCTCTCCATGGGATGGCAAGAACGAGACCGCCACCAACTAGATCAGATCCCTTCCACCTTGGTGGGGTAAGCCATTTGTCCTTACTGGAATCCATGAGTTTCCTGGTAATGGGATTGCCTCCAGCTGCACCACGGTCCACAGTTATTAAATCCTCATCTGTGACCTGGATTCCCATACAACACAGTCTCAGACGAAACCACCCATTTCAGCCAACAAGGTGCACCAATGACTCCTGACCGTGGAATTCACTGGTGTCACCATGAACCCCGCCATCACTCAGGGGCAGCCAGTCTAACAGAACAATGAATTGGGCTATCGAAGGCTCAGCCGGCGCATCGACTGCGCGAAATGTCCTATGGGCTTGAGCTTCTGTCCTCCAGTATGCAGTCCATGCCCTGAACTGACACCTGATTTTGCTGCCATGTCTGATATAACTGCAGCAGATGGGGCCAGAAGTGGCCCTGCTCACCGCCACACGCGGTAATCCCTTGCAGGGTTTGTACTTCCCATCCCCATATAATGGGGCTCAGCTGGCTTAGAGGTTTTAGTTCTGGGGTGAGGGGAGAATGTGACACAATAAGGCTCTACTGAACTGAAAACTGACTCTACCACTGGCCACCTTTGGTTCCTCATACCAGTGACAAACAGATCAAGAAGGGAGTGACGATACTGCTGGGGTCACTGAGGCCAATTGCCATGAGGAGTTAGGTTAGCGGCACATCTGAGATGGGAGAAGAACGTCTGGATAGAGCCCAGGAGGTTCCCATCTCTCAATACTTCCAGTCTGGTAATGGCTGTTAAGGGGCAAGGAAACAAGGAACTCAGACCCCTCGGGGCAAACGTCACAGAC